ATGACTATATCTGAATATTGTCATGTAGATGTGTTCGGGGGGGACTTTTATCAGACCAAAGATTCGTTCTGATCAATTCCCTAGGAGTAGTTTGTTAAAATACAAGGCCTAGAAATTGTGGCAGAATTTGACAATAAATTCAAAATGGCTGACTTCATGTTGGGTTAAAGATATGGCACCAAGAAGCTTTTTTGTACGTCCTGACATGATACACGTGCTGACATGATACACATGCAAGATACTGAATTGCTCCTGATGCTGTGCATAAAAAATAATTTCCCTCTGGGATTATGAAAGTATTTCTGATTCTGATTCTGATTCAGTGTGTGAATGTGTATGAATGCGTTCTGTTCGATGGACTTTGCTATCCCTGAGTGAATTTGTGTGAAAGGGTCCAGAGAAAAGTCCGACATTGTTTTTGTGTATTTAAACACCGACTCCACATTAAATTTTGTGTCCTCCGATTGGCGTAATCTGGTGTAACTATCTTATTATACTTACGTTTATCCTTAGCCAGCAGTTTGTGATTCACACTGATTAACTATAACATTCATTTGGTTTAACATAAAGAGTATAAGTTGCAGAATATATCTGACAGATAACTGTGGCCTGTTTTGAATTGAAAGAAAACAAATATCTGCTGGATAAGCTGTTTTTGCAAGTCTTGTGTGTTTTTTCCGGTTATTCATAACAATTCGTTATCTCTAACTTAAACCACATTTTATCTTTTATCAATTGGATCTGCAATTTGCATCTTGCACTTGGCCATCATGCAATCACAACAATATTTGAATAAATTGTACAGCCCTACTCTCAGCATGATTGACTTGTATGGGTTCACTTTGGTAAGATGAACCTGACTTGGTTTGATCTGTTTCTGTGTTGCTCAAAACATTTCACTCGTTAATTTAGCCAATGATTGTGTGCCACCTGATTGTATTTACCTGCTTGTTTTAAGCAATGCAATTTACGATTCATTAACTTTTGCCCTTACAAAAGTTTACAATTTTTTTTGTCTTTTCATTACATAATACTAAAACAAGTATATTGAATTGATAAACATACACTTGTTCATATACAAAAATACTGGTTCTGATTAAATAAATAATATTAAAACTTTAAAATGCTTAGGAGGTTCACATAATTTCAAGCAGCACTGTATGAACATGACTGTATATGACAGAACTGGGTCTGTAAAGTATAGCCAACACAGAAGTGTCTTAAACCTGCATTTTATGTAATGGCCAGCAGGGAGCAGCTCCATTGGCTGCAATAAAAGAGCAACACCATGCAGTCTTATTAAGAAATTAGCCTTCTTCTGACTTAATTTATTAGATCAGTAAACAGTTTCCTAATAGTTCATGGTCTCAATCTCTAGTTTAAAGTCTTCCTTTATACAGTATGATGTTCATTTAGTAAATTATGGTCCCATTTAGAGTAAAATAGACAATAAAGCAGGGTACGCTTTAGGGCGTGGCTACCTTGTGATTGACAAATCATTGTCAGTGAGTCCAGCTCAATGTACCAAACTCAGATCAATCTGTCAAACTAGGCAGTGCTGATCAAATCGATTACTGTATTGCCTGCATTTCTCTAAAATCTTTTCTCAAACTGTGTATTTGTTATAGAAGAATGTGAGCCGCCATTGTTTCCTGCTACGGATGAATATGAACTGCACAGCCAAGGAGCAACTTGTATCACATCACCGGCTCCAACAAACCGCCATGGCGATGACCAATATTCATCTCATCCCATAATGCTGAATTCGATGCTTCAAATCAATACTCCACAAACCAATGGATGATGTCACAAAAGGTTCACACTTGGCATTGTGCAGTGTGTACATATGCCATTGTGTATGAATCCTATTTTGTACATAGGTCGAACCAACTAAGCCTATTTTATTCTCACAGATTCTGCCAGCTGACTTTACAAGGAGCAATGAAGCATGTTAGCACCCAACTGCTAACCCTGCACACAGAACCAAGCAGGAAATTGGCTTCCTTTGATCTGTATGGGTAGACACCACGCATCAATGATAATAATTCCTTTACAGACTGGTAAAGCACATGGGCATCATATAGCTTCACATGAGCTTAACCACTAAGTTGATGTTATGCTTCACGGAAAATTAATGTGGCACTGTTAGCCTACAGATCACACACATTGCTTTAAACCCAACCACATACACCAGGAGAGAAACTCAAATGGTCTAAAACATACGGTCAGATCCAAGAAATGACATAATTTTACATTATGTGTTTCACTGCTTATTTTTTATATAAATGGATTTTGAATCTACCTGCTGGTTTATTTAATGTTGCACAAAACGATATGCTGCCAACCTCAACTGTGTAGAAATCCTTCAATATACTAGCACAGTGTTCTAGTAATATTACATGCAACTGTATGAATACCTGATTCTTATTTTCAGATAATTATACACTAATGAAAGCATACCTATGATTATATTCCATTTCTGCCAATAGATCATCCGAATGTTACACACTGAACCTTTTAGGGTGGTGTCCTGAGATGTATCTAATGCAATTTAATACTGTTACCCAATACAATAATAATTGTTATTTTTGATAAAAAAATTGCACCTACATCATTTGATGCCCAATCAAATCATGTTCCCTACACTAGCATTAATCTAAATTAAACCCTAACCGTGATCATAGCGGGCAGTGTTACCAAAACAGTATTTACTGATATTTACACTGAGTTTACTTATTCATGTTTTTAGCACTAATTAACTTCATCATCTGATGGAGAGAGGCAGCCACTACATCATTTACTTAATTTCTATGCAAATAGAAATGGAAATTGGGGTCCAATTAGTGATCTTTTTGGATGACGCCTATACACACTAGCTACATATCAATATAAAGGCACACACACAAGAAAGATTGCAACAAGATGTTAATTAGATTCTTAGATCAAACCATCCTCATTTATTATTCCCTACATTATGAAAGGAGTGTGTGTGTGTGTGTACATACATAACTTTTTCTTTCTCTCTAAGTGAGTGTAGTCGGAGAAGGTGTGGCAGTTGTGGACTAAAGGATGAGTGGTGACCTTGACTCTAGTCTACTAAGGCAGCACTTAATTAACACCCTCATCACACTGTTTTCAGTTCACTGATAAATTGTTTGGTTAAAACAATGAACAGAACAACACAGAAGCATAATTAGCATTTCATATGTTTTACATGATATTCAATTCAATTCAATTCAATTTTATTTGTATAGTGCCAATTCATAACAGAAGTTAATTCATAACA